ACCGTTCAACAAGTGGTTCTTCAGTTTAGCAGCCGGCTTAGCGCTTCTTTAATTTTCACCCTCGCAGGGCAGCTTAACTCTCCTTCCCGCCTCTCGCGACCCCCTCTTGCAGAAGCTGAACCTCCCCGAGGACCACGTGACTGTTCCCGCTGATTATCATTTTCCCTGTGATCGAATATCCATCCAGAAGAATGTTTCCCCTGCGACTTGTGGAATCCAAGGCGAGTCCTGGAAATGTCATAAATCCGGGCAGGAGAGCCTGGATGTTCCTGCAGGAATTCGGACGCTACTGTAGGATCTTCTCACGAGTCGGATAATGCTAATGGGATAATAATAAAAGGGAGAAGCGGACGAGACAAGTGACGCCCTCGACACCCTCGACACCCTGCAGCCTCTCGAAATAGGGCCAATTGTCAGGAGTGCGATCCTCCGGGTTCTTCTTCCGGGCGCCGCCCCAAAAACCAAAACACAAATAATATTGTCCCGCAAGCATCACCACTGTGCAGCGTCGCTCTCACAGCCCTCGCAGCCTCCAGAAACGTATAGGACCATTTAGCCAGGACCATACCGCACTGTACGGTAAAGGCTGGCGCGAAGGGATCTGCATGTCAATGGGAGGCAATCGTAATTGGGGATGCACCGTTGGTCCCGGTTGTGCCGAAGGAGGATCACACGGAGCGGAGGAAACGAATCTCCGAAGTGCGCGGGGAGTCACGTTCGCGAAGCCGTTTGCGTCCCGCAGGATCCTGTGGCGGCTGCTACCTGCTGCGTTTCCTCTGAGACGGGAGCGTTAGCCTGCGAGGAAGGAGCACAGGGTCCTTGTAGCCTGCGTCCTTCTGCACCCACAGGACTCTGGTTGTCGAACGGGACGGAGGGCCAGTGCACCCTGTGTCTAATTTCGAAAGAACGTGCAAACGATTCCGCTGAGCTGCCTCGAGGTGAGATAAGGCTTCGGGCTGGCCTTGCTGCTCTGTGTTGGTCCAAACGTGAGCCGTCGATGTGGCAGTCCAGGGCGCACACGGAAGTCTAAGAAAGGCTGCCATTTCTTTCTTCCTTTCATTTCT